GCCACGCCTGCCACGCTGGCAATGGGGACTTGGGGGACCCACAGCAGAGCTGCCACGCTGGCCATGGGGGCTTTGGGGACCCATCACAGAGCTGGCACCTGCCACTGGGGCTTTGGGGTCCCATTGCAGAGCTGGGTGGTGGGATGGGTCCCCCTCACTGCGAGGAGTGACAGGAGTGGTCCTGGGGCCAGGGAGGGCTTTGCCCATCTTCTGGAAGATGCAGCTGACTCCTGTGGTTCTCTGTTTTCTTTTTGTCCTCTTCTTCCCCTCCTTTCCCAGCTGTTTGCCATGATCTTCGCCATGTGTCTCTTTCGAGGGATCCAGTAAGAGGCAGCCTGTGAACCACCACGTTCCCCACGTCCTCACAAGAAAGAAGGAAAAAAAAAAATCAGAAGAAACAAAACCTGAAAACAGCCGGAAAAAAAACTTTATTTTTTTTAACAAAATGGGATTGGGAGAAAAAAAAAAGAAAAAAAAAAAAGAAGAAAAAAAAAAGAAAACAAAGAGGGTTGTAATATATGAATGACCAAAAGGATTGTACTTCAGGGGCTGGAACTTTGAGGTGATGTGCACTACACTGTACACCGGACCCTTGCCCAGAGCCACCCGCAGCAGCCGTGGAGCAGGAGGAGCCCAGCGCAGCCCATTGCACTAGAGACTGATGGAGCTGGCGGAGAGGGGGGGATGGATGAGCACAGCTGCCTCTCCTGCAACACCGTGCCTACTGCTCACAAATTCCTCATGATTTAGACAGCAAAGGACTGAGGAACAGCCATGCAGGGGCTGGGTAAGGCAACAGGTTGGCCAACGTCGATGACTGTCCAGGTGGGTTTGGAACAAGCGGTGGTGGCTCTTCTCAGAAGTAGGTAATTGTTGGTGTGATGCTGGTTTAATGCTCAGCCACAGAATGAAAACAGCCCCGTTCTTCAGTGGAAGCTTTGTCCCTGTCCCCTGAAACTTGTCTGAGAGGTCAGGCACTTCAGTGAGGCTGGCTTGGCTTTCTTCTGGAGCCCCAAGCAGGGGCAGCGTGGTCTGACTTAACGATGGGACTCAGCTAAGGCTGCCTGATGGTGGAGTTTGGTGCTTACCTTTCTGGTTTTTACTAAGATTTACTGTTCCTTGTTGTGAAAAAAAGAAAGAGCAAATGGTTCCCTGCTGTGTTCCCATCTCCTGGGAAAAATAATGGCTCTGGTCAAGAACGACTGATACTGCTGCCTTCCTGAGAAGGGGAGGAAATGGTGTTTAAATCTTGTCGGCTTTTGCCTTTCCCTTCTCACGTGCAAAAAAAGGTTTGTGGTGCTCTGTTAGCATCAATATTTGCAGTGGATTCCTACATGTTTTCCAGCCCTATGGGGAGATCCAGGCCCGGTGCTGGATGGAGGAGGCTGAGGTTTCTCAGCTGCTGTTTTGCCTGTTTGTCTTGTGGCGTCATTTCTGCTGAGAGGATTTCCTCCCGAGATCCTCCCGTGGGCTGGTGACAAAGGCATCAAGTCCAAATTGTTGCAGCTGAGAGTGGTTCCTCCCTTGAGGTCGTTTGACATTTAATTAACGTACCATCTACTTCATCATTTGGAAGTGAACTTGAGAAAGGCGCCTGGGACTGGACCTTGGTCAGAGATTGACTCTCTGATTAAGCAGGAGGTGCTGAGGTCCCAGGCAGGCTCTAGGAGCTCCCATTGTGCAGCCAAACCTCTCCAGCCACTGCCCCAGTGGTCCTGGTTATCAAACCAGACAGGTCCACGTGTGATTGCAGCCCAGAAGGTCAACTGTGTCCCGGGCTACATCAAAAGAGGAGTGGGCAGCCAGGTGAGGGAAAGAAGGGTTGAGGGAGCTGGGCTTGTTCAGCTTGGAGAAGCAGAAGGCTCCGAGGAGACCTCATTGTGACCTTCCAGTACTGGAAGGGAGCTTCTAAACAGGAGGAGAGTGACTTTTGATATGGGCAGAGAGTGATAGGACAAGGGGAAATGGTTTTAAACTAAGAGAGGGGAGATTTAGGTGAGATATGAGGAGGAAATCTTTCACCCAGAGGATGGTGAGACACTGTCCCAGCTTGCCCAAGGAAGTTGTGGCTGCTCCTCCCTGGAAGTGTTGAAGGCCAGGTTGGATGAGGCTTTGAGCAACCTGTGTCCCTGCTGATGGCAGGGGGGTTGGAACTGGATGAGCTTTAAGGTCCTTTCCAACCCAAACCATTCTATGATGATTCTCTCCTCTAGAAGCCTCAACCCCTGTTGCCTTAATTACTCATCTGGTCACTCCCTGACCCCAAACTCATTGTGCTTGGGGGAGGACAGAAGGTGCTGCTGTTTCTTGTTCAACTGAGGTCTTTTTAACAGATATTTTTTAATAGGCTCAGATTATGGAGCACTTTTATATAAAACTTAAACCAACCCCTCTGAAAGCTGCAAGCACGGGGAAGGAAAGTGAGGAGGCAACTTTGTGCCCAGGTTTTATAGCAGCAGATGAGCTTTGCCTGGCTGGAAGGAAGGAAAGCAGCAGAAAGACTGGTCCAGAATAGACAACCATCCTGGTTAAATGTCCAGGTTGGAGAATTGGGATATTAAGGATGAGGAAGGAGGCATTAGAGCTTTTCCAAGCTTCTTTTGAGAACAACAAGTTGCTCATCAGCACGAGAGGGCTCCCCCGTGCCGCGGCAACGGAGCAGCCTCAGATGTTGCATTAAACCTCGTGGAAAGCTTTTTCTGAACTATTTCCCTCTGGATCTGCTTTTAATGAGGTATTTTATCATTAAATTCTGGCCCTGTTGTTTAATGAAGGAAGGGGGTTTTTTTTGCTAGCCAAAACCCAGCAGTATTTGTACCCGACAGCAGGTGCTGCACTTCAGACAGGAAAAAAATCTGTTGGCTCGACTGGAGCCAGGCAGGAGGTGAACTTATCTCTTCTGCTCTTGCCTCAGGAGATGGTGGCAGGGACTGTTCTGGGGGAGCAGTTCCCCAGGGAAGGAAGAAAACTATGAGCAGAGATGTGAATTTGGCTGGAAGTGAATGAGAGAAGCAGAACCACCTTCTCCAATCTCCAATTTCTATTTTTTTTTTCCTTTCTCCTCAAGTTTATTATGCAAAAGCCTGGCTGGCTCAGGTCAGAGCCTGGAAGGTGAATACTCTGATTTGTGTATGGTGGGTGGCTGAAGGGGAAAAAATATTAATAATAATTAAAAAAAAAAAAAAATAGCCTTAAAGTGTTTTTTCTGCCACCAGTGGAACTGGACCAAAGCAGCCAGAGCACCAAGTGATAAACACAGACATCAATAAGCAGGGTCTTTATTTCTCTTTGGCTTTCCTAATTCTGTACTCACTGCTTTGGCTGGTTTTAGCTTTCTCACTTTCCTTCTTCCCTAATGGTTCTCCCTGGATTTAAAAAAAACCCAAACAAACCCCAAAACTCTTTATTTGCCTGGAATTCTGGCCTTTGCACGGCTGTTTCTCCCCTTACCTTGTCTGATCCCTCATTGGTTTTTTTCTGGATGAAGACTTCAGCTCCTCTCTGCAGCTGGTTGATGTGCTCCGTTAGGAACCCAACCTAAAAACCCCACCAAAGGGCCAGGCAGCACCTTTGTAACAAGAACTGGAGATAACAATGAAGATAATGAGCAAATCTGAGAGGACCTGTGGAAAATTGGTAACAAGCCAAAGGGATTTAATGAGCAATCAAGCCCAGAAAGCAGAGCCATGGTGCATGGCAGAGCATGGCCATTTGTTGGGGTTGTCCCTTGGTTTTATGTGGCTGTCCCCCCTGTTGTACAGTCGTTTTCAGAACAGTAGGCAGGAGAAGCAAGTGTATTTTTTTATATTGAACAGCTCTGGTGAATATTTTGGGGTCAAGGTAAGAGTCACTGAGCAGGCTGGGGACCAGAGGGATGTCCACCTCCTTCGCTGTAGCACTGTGACCATGGCCCAAGCACCTTGGATGGAAGAAGTAGAGAGCAGCAGCCTGTGCCTGGCAGCCCACAGCCCCTCTGGGTACCCTCTGCCTCCCGGCTGTTATTTAATGATCAAACAATTGTCACAAATGCCTGGGAAAAGGGCTGCGTGTGAAATAATGGTTGAAATCTATTTTAAAAGAAATAAAATAAAATAAAATTGTAAATGTTCTTTTTATTAGATAGTGGAGCTAATTTATCCTGTATGCCCTACTGTAATGCTTTTTTTTATATTGAAAGGAATTTTTTTTGTTTGGTTGGGTTTTTTTGGTAATATAAACCAGAACACAAGCCTGAAGCACTCTCTGCACGGTTTTTGTGTGCGTTTCTTAAAAAAAAAAATAATTAAAAAATAATAAAAAAATAAAGAAAAGAAAGATATTGTGACAGTGAAGTGAAACAGCTTTAATTTTCACTAGTTGCTTGGTGTTAAGTACAGTCACTTTCTTACCAGAGGAGAAAGAATAAACTCAGGTACAGCAGCTAAAATGAGGTATAAACTGAAGTGTCCCATTCTCCCCACCCCCCCAAGTAAAAACCTTTGACCAGAAAGGAGAGGGCAGCTCAGGACAGACAGAGCCTCTCCAGTGTCACCAGCTCCAGTTTGCCAGATAGTGGTAGATAAGGCGATGTAGGGAGTTGATGTGCACGATGAGCTTTCTTCACCCTCAAAAGCGAGGGCTCTGTGAACACAAGGGTTTGAGTCCATCTCTGGTAGAAGAAGGGGGTCAAGCTGTGGTCCTGGCTGGTGCCTGCTGGGAGCACAACCCTTTGGAGGACTCCCAGCCCTGGACAACATCCCACAGATACAGGTAATTCATTGCAGTCTCCCCTGGGAGATGGTGTCCATCCATGGCCTGGTGTCCATCCACAGCTTGTCTTTCTCACATCTCTGTGGAGATGTGTTGTCTCAGCAGATCAGTAGTAGAGCCTGAAGTGATGTCTCTGGCTTTTGGTCCCAAATTATCTGCTCACCTGGCACCTGCAGCTGTGATGTTGGTCCCAAATTATCTGCTCCACTGGCACCTGCAGCTGTGATGCCAGCACTCCTGTCCTCAGCGACCCAGCTCTGTACAAACCTTTCAGCATCTTCCTCCCTTTCCTCCATTCACACCAGAGTGAAGACAACCAGCCACAGTTGGTTTGTTTCCAGCCCAGTTCTGGGCTCCATCCTTAAACCACCCTGAGAAACTCCCTCTTAGACCTCACCTGCTACAAATTTGGCTCCTCAAGTGGACCTGGCCATGATGCTCCTGCAGCACCTTGCTGATGAGGAGGGACCATGCCAGGGACCACAGCCTTTTTGTAGCCAGTGCCAGGCAGGAGCACCCATTTGCCCCATCTCACTTAGTTGTAGATGATATGTAGAGCCCCAGTTCACTTCCATACTTCCTCCATGGTCCATTTATAGCAAGATAGAGCAAGAAGCATGAAA